TCTCTATATTTGTTCATTTTCGGTGCTAATGTACTTTCTGCTATGATATTACTTGAGGAAAGAAGATGGTCATGGAAGGGACTATCAATTTTTCAGGGTTCTCTACCTCTAACTCATGTGATATATGCTGATGATACTATTTTATTTGCTCAGGCTGATGAATCCACTCTAAATACAGTATTTCAAGTTTTGAACCAATATGAAAGTATTGCAGGACAAAGAGTGAACAAAAGGAAGTCATGCTTGGTGTTTAGTTCGAACATCCATATCAAGTTAAGGAGAGTTTGGCTCGTCTACTTGGCATACAATTCCACTCCTCTCTTGGTAAATATTTGGGCATCTATGTGGATTCAGGAAGAGACAAAAAGAAGGTTTGCCAGGAAATAATTCATAAGATAGATTCCAAACTGAAGCATGGAAAGCAACTTTACTTTCTCAAGCTACAAGAGCTACTTTGATTAAATCTGTTCTTTCATCTTCACTTGTTTATATGCTATCCAATTATAAGTTGTCGGCTTCCTTTTGTCATCAAATTGACATGAAAATGGTTGACTTCTTTTGGGGTGTTAATTCTCATGGGAAGAAGATGCATTTGTTATCCTAGGACAAGCTTTGTGTTCCTATAACAGAAGGTGGAATGGGGTTTCGAAAGATTGAGGCATTCAATAATGCTCTTTTAGCTAAATCAATGGCACGGATATTTTCTTTAGTGGACACCTCTTTACTTGCTATGGTAATTAAGCCTAAATATGTTTCCTCTTTGGATGATGGGCTGATTCTTAATCGTTCCATTGAATCACCAATTTGGAAAGGAATTAAGAAAACTGCTCACATTATCACATATCAATTATATTGGAATATTGGGGATGGGAAGTCAATTAATTTGTTTAGTCGCCTTTGATGGCCAATGCAGATGATTTCCCCTATTGCACTATTGACTGTGAGGGATCTTACTCTACAAAATGGTTCTTGGAACCTGACTCTTTTGAATATGTTGTACAATCAAAATGTGAGAGATGAAATTGCTTCCCTTCCTATATCCACTTGTCATAGTAGAGATACTATCTGTTGGAATGGTAATGTTGAGGGTGTCTATAGTTTTGCTGATGGATATAAGTTATGTCTTCAGAACTGTCATTTAGATCTTCCCTTGAGAGGAACCATAAATTTTGTTTTGAATAAATTACCTCTTACACCTCGGGTAAAAGTATTATGCTAGAAGTTTTTCTTGCAGGCCTTACTAGTGAAATCCTTGTTAATGACAAGAAATATGCATGTGGATAAGGGATGTACTTTCTGTGGAGAAGATGAGACGATGGTACATTTGTTTTTCAATTGTTCCTAGGCTCGTGCTGTTTGGTTTGGCTCTCCACTCAGCTTGCGTTCCTCTCAACAAGAACTGACAGATCTACCCAGATGGTTCATTCAAGTTCTCACTGATGCCCCTGTACAAGTACAAGTATTGACCTGTCTTCTTCTTTATAGTATTTGGTTTTTCCGGAATCTAAAATTACATGAAAATAAATCAGCTATGCCTCAAAAAGTTTTAGATTATGTCTGTGGGTTAGTCTGTCAATGTGATATGATTCAAGACAATGTGACAAAGAGAAACTTTAAGGCAGGAGGTCCTCAGGTTTGGTCAACTTCATATGATTTGTCTGCTTGGATATTGAAGGTGCAGTTGAGTCAGAGAATGGAATTCAGTAGGAAATTTAAGCACATAATGATTGAACTGCATTTTCAATAGACTTTGATCTTCCGTAGATTGGTTGTAGTGCCTAAGAAGAAGAATAGGACACAGGCTATGCTTCAAGAAATCCGTAAAAGGCTTCAGTTTATGAATGTGCAAACTTGGATTGTCGGCCCTTATGTAGATCCATTGACTTTTTTGTTACAAAGGAAGGGTGTGGCGCTTTTGCTAAGGGGTAATCTTCCTCCGCCTTCGAAATTTAGTGTTTTGGTTAGCGATATCAGATGGTATCTTTCTAAGTCTCCTTGTGTATTTTTTATTTCTGGTTAACTTATGTACGGTTTTGATCCCAAAAAAAAAAAATCAACTCTATAATTAGATCTAAAATAGATGAGGAGTATATAAATTTCTATAATTTCGTCTTATTTTTAATCGTTATGATATTTTTTATTGAATCTTTTAGTTTTATCAATTATAGAAATTAATCCATATACTTACAATTTGTTAATTTGTAAGATAAGCAAAATTATCAGCTCGTGACGAGACTTTTAATCAAGGTACACCTAGACTAATTCTGCTACATGAATGTAAAAACGAATTAAAACCGATTAAATTATGATTATACATGGATACTAGGAGATATTTATAGCATAATAAATTATTTGTCGCATTGATAATAAATCAATTGTACTCATTCTGGTTCCTCTTGTCCTATTTGTAGAGTAAAAATGAAAAAAAAAATTAGTTCTATTTATAGAGTAGAGAAATTTTTTTTTATATAAATATATAATTTTACATTTTATTTATTATTATGTTAACTTTATTTTATAGGCTATAATGTATATTAAATAGGGATAAAGTTAGAAAGTAGTTAAAATTTAAATAAAATTAATAAAGTTTAAGTTTTTCTTAGTTTATGTGAAATATATTAAAAAGAACTTATAAATAGAATTAAATGATTATAAATAAAGTTTTATAATTAAGATGGGGGACGTTAACCTTCGAAAAGAACTTTATATCGTGCTTGTATATTAAGAACGGGCGTCAGATTTTTTTTTTCCCCTCGGTAACTAGCTTTGGGACCTACTTTATAAATTCTTAAAAGAATAATTTGTTGGCAAAGTGCTCGGGGTAGGACTATCTGTCCAAATTATTAGCCAGGTGGGCCACTTTAATTTGATTTGCTTTCAAATCACTGCTAGGTATCAATAGCGGAGGCAAAAAGACGAGACTAATAGAAGTCATGGCCCCACAAGTTTTAAAATTTGTCATGATATTATAAATGCATTACACATTTTTTGCGCAAATTTAATACTACAATATTTAATCTTAAATTTTATTATAACTATATCCTAGCTCTACACCTGCTTACACCACACACATTAAAAGGTAAAGGGAAATAATATTCCAATTTAAATGTACCAAAGTGTTACTCATTGCTGCTGTTCAATCTGGCATCCTCATCTTGGGTCTCTCCATCATCTACATGAGTTTTATATTGAGAAGTCTCATAAGAGTGACGTGGTTAATAATTTTAAGGGGTTTTCCTCTTAATAAGTTAGCTTTTTTTAGAATTAAACTCTCTTAGTCTTCTAGGAGTAAACTCTTTCTTTAGCCTTATCTTCATGACATTGATACTTTCATTGAGATCATGATGTTCACACAAAAAGCCTCACACGAAAGGTTCTCATTAGCAAGAGGCTGAGTGAAGTGCTATGTAGTAAGAAGCCTCACAAGAGTGGTGTGACTTGTAAGTTTAAAAGACTCTCCCTCTTAATAGATCAGTCTTTTGGAATAGAACTTTCCATTTAAACTTGTACTGATTACACTCCACACACATATCATTATATCCATTATATAAATCCCTTTCATCCAAGGTATAAGAGTTAGTTTGTAATATAAATTTATACCAAAAACTAATTCTTATATTTAGGATTGGAGATAATATATAATTATTAAATAATTCAAATGACAAGTATGCAGTTATTCCATACATTGTAACTTCCAGATGGGATTTTTTTTTTTATGATTACACTTTTTTATTAATACTACATGGTAATTTTTCCAAAATACAATCTTTTTGGTTAGCACCATTCCTCTTTTCATTATAAAGCTTTATTCACTTAGGAAGAAATTTCAAAGGAGTACGTTAAATTTCAAATTAGTAAACAGTTTAATTTTTTGAATTTTCTAGGAGCAGATAACAAATGATCTGAGATTATAAGTAAGATTAAATATATAACCTTCTACTTAAAGAAAGTTTTCACGTCACCCAACTATAAGATCAGTAACAAATAATAAATAATTCAAGTAGGAAATGACATCACATTCAAAGATTCCTTTATGATCTCCCTGTAAATGGTTAGCACAATATATGCATGTTTGGTTACTTACAACCGAAGATATTCATACATCAATGGATAATTTGGACATCCACCTTATAAACAAAAGGGAAAATTAATTTGGAGGTCCTTATAGTTTCTCTCAATTTTAAATCAGGTCCTTGAGTTTTTTTGTCTTTTTAATAGGTCTTTAACTTTTTATCATTAAATTTATTAGTCCTTGCCGTTAAATAAAGCAAACACTGTTACATCCTTCTGCTCTGCTGTTCTCGAACTCACTGTTGCTGCTCAAAACCAAAGGAGCATCAAAAGCCAAGCAAGCAATCCATTCATTCATTGCTCCTCCTAACTCGTATCTCTAGCATCCATATCCTTGCCGCCACTTTCAAGTTGGGCCTCTTCAGCTTCGTTCTCTCCTCCACTTTCCTTTGCAGAATCAGAAAGCATGGAGAGTTTGATAAGACCACATCAGACTAATCATGACTTTCACTACTAGACTCATCATCATCTTCAACAATATCATCCGTTTGATTCAAACTCTAGTTTCTCAAATGGATTTGGGACATGAAGGCTCTTGGACTGGCTCTGTTCATGCTCATTTTGTTCTCACTGTCGAGCTCCTTGGAGGCCATGAAAGTCCATCTCTCTCGTCTTCCTCTACTGATTCATTGTGTTGTCTCTTTTTCACGTGGGTTTGATAAACAAACTCGTTTCATCGTTAGAGTAGTGAGCCTTCTTGCTTTTCAATGAGACGTGATATCGTAGAAGAACTGGGAAGCAATGATGAGATCGCAGGACATTGAAGGTGAAACGGCAATTTTTAACGGTGTTTGCTTTATTTAACAGCAAGGACCAATAGATCTAAAAGTAAAAAGTTAAAGGACCTAATAAAAAGAAAAAAAAGCTTAAGGACCTGATTTAAAATTGAGAAAAACTATAAGGACCTTCAAATTAGTTTTCCCTAAACAAAATATGTGGTTGGTTTAACCTGTACCTGCCTCCCTCCTCTTTTTTCCCAGCCTTTTAATCTATGCCCACATTAACACAAACAAGACAAATTAAATATAACGATCTTAAAATGACAAAATTCTTATCTGGGCACTTTATCGAGGATCCACATATTGGGATAGGAACTCTTGAACTTTCTTTCCTGCTCACAGCCAGAGTCATATTCCCACTGAGGATGATGACCGATCGAAAGTGCTTCAGAAAACTTGAAACTCATAGATATGTCACATTCACAAGAGTTTTATATATGTGCAGCATTTACAGATTAGAATTGTGTCATTCAAAGAATCAAATTCTCTCTACTGCTCTCTTGATCACCATGCCGTCCACGGAACACATCGCAGCTCGCCGACCGCCGCATTTTTCCGTGATTCACCGGAATCTGTCCCCTCATCACGTCCTCCGACAGCCTGAGATTGTACTCGACCGTCTCCTTTCCTTTGATTTCACCCAAACCCAAAGAGTGACCCGTTGAATGACACCTTTCCAAACTTGTTCTGTCTGCTAAATGAAGCTCCGTTCTACCCTCAGAACTTTCATCGAACACCTGGTGTGAATTTGGCTCATTCGGAATTACTATCACGACTTCGTTTTCACCTTGCCGGGGCTCCTCCTCCGTCGGCTTCAGCCTCGCGCGACAAACTGGGCAAGTCTCGTGGGAGGCGAACCAGGCGTCGATGCATTGAGGGTGAAACACGTGATTACATTTCGGAAGCAATCGAAGCGTATCTTGGTGATCGAACTCGCTCAAGCACACAGCACACTCAAGCGCAGCGGTTTTCCCAAATTTGAGGTTTTTCACAGCGGAATACACGAGGATGGGGAAGGTATCGAGTAATTTCGGGTCCACACCTTGCGGGCCTCTTGAAGAACAATTGGCTGGGGCGCCAGTTGGATCTCCGACGGCGAGTTCCATGTCAGAGCAGTGGTGGAGGTAGACGGCGAAGCAGCCAATGAAGAAGAAGGCGCAAACGAGGGCCACAACGACGGGAGCAAATGACTGGTCCCAGTTGTGAAATGGAGCAATCGGAGAAGCCGCCGGTAGCGAATTTGACTGGGCATCGACGGCCGATGATAGAAGGAAGAAGACGATGATCCGTGAGAGTGTTATCCGCTTCACCATCTGGTCATGAGAAGCCGAGAGAGTATTGGGCTTGTATTCCGCTTGTTGAGTATTACAGTCAAAAACCACTTGGTTCAGAAAAATTATGGATAAATATATATATTATAATCAAACTTGCCGTGACATGGTTGTGTGGAAGATTGGCTTCTGACGGAAGCCAAAAGCGGGACGCTGGTTTTAGAGAAAGCCTCTGGTTTTCTGACTATTGTGATACAGCGTCGTTTGTTCAGAATCGTACGTTTTCTGGGACAAGTACTATATTAATTTGTTGAAGCGCCACTTTATAAGTATGGCTTCCAGAAAGATCTTTTTTGTGACATTATAAGAATTAAGGAGTGTATTTGTGATAACATGAAAACGGTTTATAATTATGCGTGGGTCTAACCCACTTTATTTGGGCCTCACTCCGCAGTGCCGTTTGTGATTTATGCATATGTAATGTAGAGATACTACCAAACCCACAAGATTAGATCTAATAGAAAGGGTTAATTTCTCATAATATAACGAATCAAAATTTGAATCTTTATTAAGAGAAATACTCATATTTAGTATCCGACAGTGTGTCAAATATGATTGCCTCCTAGACCGTTTGTGATTTATGCAGATATAATGTAGAAATACTACCAAACCCACAAGATTAGATCTAGTAGAAGGGGTTAATTCCCCATAACATAACGAATCAAGATTTGAATCACTATTGAGAGAGGTATCTATATTTAGTACCCAACAGTGTGTCAAATATGATTGCTTCCTATGTTTTTGTCAAAAAAATATAGAAATATTACCTGTCCTTAACATAAAAAGTTATTTAATTTTGAACATATTTAAGTTATTCAAATTAATAGTAACTTTTTTCAAAACAAATAAAGAATTGTTTTGAACATATTTAAGCAATTCAAATTAATTCAAGGATCATATTTTATTCAAAATGACAGTTGCCATAACCAAAAGACATCCACACATTTGTTGGCCTGAGATACGCCTTTAAATCACGACTTGAATTCTTTTATGTAATTTCTTTTAATTTTGTCTTATGTTTTTATCGTGGAATCTTATCCTCAATTTATTGTAATTTAATCTCTTGACAAATTATTTAGATATTTCCTTCTTTTTTAATACTCTCAGGTGATCATTTAATAGAAAAGTATTGAGGAGTGACCTTTTTTAATTCATAATTGGGTAGGGTACGTGGCAGGACAGAAACAATCGTTTGTTATTATTAAAAAAAACAATTATTTGATCACGAGGGAGTTAGATCTCGTTGAAAATACTGGTCTCTTACCATATGACGAATAAAGATTTAAATCCCTACTAAGAAAGATGTTCATATTTAATGTTTGTTAAATTGTTAGTGTCTCGAATGAAATTATCCCCATAGTAGGATAGCTATCTTTTAGCTAAAAAAAAAATCATTTGAATAGATTTTGTATACAATTAACTAAAGCTAAAAAAATTGTGATTAAATCTTGTGTGAAGTTATAATCAATTAAAATTAAGTTAAAAGGCAAAAATAGAATTAAAAAAATAGTTACATTAAAATATTAAAGTACAAATTTTCCTCCAATATCTATTTTATTCTAATTTGAAAAGTGATTTCTACAAGTCTAACCATTTGATTAGAAATTATTAGGATGTGGGTGTAGCCGTGTTGGGTGTGTGGCTGGGTCAAATTTTATCACATTAGATTCATAATCATTCAATAAAATATTTCAAATTACTTTTTATTTTGTTGCTTTGTTAATACTGTATTATATTACTTAAATTATCCTTCATTAATTTCTTACATTCACGTGTTTGAAATATTATTTCAGCCAACACACATTAAAAAATTATTAGATAAATAAGTTTGCATTGTTAAAAAATTTAAGACATAACCAAAAAAATTTGACAGTTGGCGAAAGAATTAAAAATTTTGAAAATATATGCATTAAAATTATAGTTTAGCTGGGTCCAAAAATGTTATTCCTGAGCAATCGAAAGGGTTTTTAAATAACATTTATATTAAAGAGGAATATTTTGATCCTAAATATGTGATCATACTTTTAATTAACAGTTTGATCGATGAGAATAAAAAAAAAATTGAGTTAAGTAACTTCTTATTGAAATGGAGATTTATTATAAGTTTTAAGCATATAAATGAGATTTTTGTAATTTAAGTCAAAGTAAAAAGAAATTTGTGGTCACAAGTTTCATGCTAGAGTTAGGAAAATAGGCCAGGCCTATCGGGCCAGCCTGTTTAAGTTCAGTTAAGTTGAGAGCGAAGTTGTTGATTTGGAGTCTTCAGAGGTAAGTTGAACTTTAAAAGATAGTGTAGGGCCTAAAATTAAACTAAGCAGCCCTGCAGGCCTGGAATGGGCTGTTTAAGCTAGCAATGTTATTTTGTGTTTTATTTTAAAGCAATTCAAATATTAATATTATTATTGTATTTATTTTATTTAACCCCAAAAAGAAAATCTTGGGAACAAAATAAGCAAATCACTCACACACATTCATGATAATCTTGAGATGATATTGCGATGGTGGTTTTAGGCTAGGGATTAAACAATTATAAACAAAAGGAAAATTTATTTTTGCTAAAATTAGATTAATAATGATCGTACCACAACTCTATCTTGATTTATTCTTTTTGTAGAGAACTTGTGAGAATTAAAACAAATGTAAGAATATGAGAGTGTGTATTATAAAGAAACATGATTTCATTTGAACTCTTAATCAAAGACAATTAATTTTTGAACATTAAAATTTTAGGATGAGGCGTTGTGTAGGGGTGTTCACAGTGCCCGGTAGCCTGGTATGTCCGACCAAGCCTGAGAAAAAAAAAAGCCCAGCCCGGCCTGAAAAACACAGTAAAAAAAAAAAAAAGCACTTCTGGGTAGGGTTGATCATAGGTAGGGTCGGGCTACGAGCAGGGTATCCTGCCTTGCCTGTTTGGCCCTTGCCAGAGTATGTTTAATTATATATTATAATAATAATATATAATATCATAATACATAAAATATAATATAATCTTTTATTTTAAATTTTAAATTTTTCTTCTTTCACAGTTTCACTCTTCAATTTTGGACTTACGCCTTAACGCCTCCCTTCTCCTCCAAACTTCTGCTCACTACTTAGTCATCATTGATTCATTACTCACTGTCAGTCTGTCAGTTGCTTCCAGTTCCAGGCTCCAGTTTGATAATTCAAGACTTCCACTCAAGCTCAACTGGCTAAGACGCCGACCAGTTCCAAGCTCAACTCACTGAGACGCTGACCAGTTCCAAGCTCAACTCGTCGAGCACCGAGCAGCGACCACCTCCATCTTCGCATTCCCTCAAGCTCAACTCACCGAGACGCTGACCAGTTCCAGGCTCAACTCACTGAGCACCGAGCAATGACCACCTCCGTCTTCGCATTCCCTCAAGCTCAACTCGCTGTGAGTGCTCACCATCGGTAGCTTCCAAGCTCCATCTTCCTCTATCGATTTAGCTTTGATATTTAGCCAGTGAGTTGATGCTATTTGATTCTGCTTCAATTTCATCCTTTTCTTGTTTTCTAGTGCGACAAATTTGTTGTTCTTTGTTGAATTATATAATCTTTTGGTGTTTTCTATTGCAAATTTGTTTGCTTGGCAGAGATTTTACCAATTTGTTGCAAATTTGTTTTCTGTTTTATTGGGAAATAGACCTGCTTCTACCATGACTCTGTTTTTTGAATGCTGAAGTGAATTCATTTTGGAGCAATACTTTGTTTAGTAACAATGTAACATAATTACCAAAAGATTTGGATATGAGATGTAAACTTAGTGGTTGTTCAAATATATTACACACAGCATTTTGAGTAGTTAAAGAGGAGTAGAGCTCGTCTACCTAAGTGCAAAAAGTTGTAGATGCATTCGCTACCATTTGGATATAAGGTTGAAAGACCAATTGCTGCAATGTTGATGAACTCTTTTGATAGTAATAACGATTTCCAAAAGGCAATTTTGTATGCCTTTTCAAAGAATTTTAACATTAATTGTAAAAGTGCATTATCCATCTATACTCCACTTTTTTTTTAATAAAATCAAAAGTAATTGAGATAATAAAATGAATCAATTATATCAAATGGCCTATTATGAATTGTAATTTGTTAAGTTTGTATCATTGTTATTGCATCACATACTGATTTAATTGTGAAAATAATTGTGTATTGATATATCTTTAAAAAATGATTTGTTAGATTATATGATATTGCATTGCAGCTTTAATAGATGAGGAGCCTTCTATTACATCACCATCCCTGGTTGTTGGTGAAATGTCTCAAGGTGCTTCAACCCCTCTTCAAACACCAATTCCTACTGAATCTAATCAAACACCAAATCCTAATAGACCTAGTGAAGCTCCTATCCCTAGCCCTACTCTTTCTGTTCAGCCTCCATCTTATCCTGTCCTCCCTTGTCCCATCTCTCCTTTTCCTACCCCTACTCCCCCACAAACAAATTCTGCCACACCAGAAACAAATGTTGATGGAAGGGGTACAAGAGAAAGGCAAGAGAACCTAAACACATATCAAAGGTATGGGAATACTTGGTCAGATTGCCAATAGAAGAAACTAATGGAGTTCACTTAGCAACTTGCAAGTATTGTCATACTACTTATAAAGCTTATCCAAACCATCATGGGACAAATTCTTTGTTGAGGCATATCTCAAAGTATTTAAAGAATCCACATAAGGCCACTATAGATTAAAAAAAATCTATGTTAACTCTTTTGTCGAGTAGGACAACTAGGCAAGGAAAATCTTTAATTCCATATGTATATGATGAGAAGCGATGTAGAAGAGCTTTAGCTAAATTTATCATCTGTGATGAGCAACCATTCAGAATTGTGGAGCCTTTATTTAGGAAATTGTTAAATGAGTTTGAACCACACTTTCCATTCCCTTCAAGAACGACAATTGGAAGAGATGTGTGGCAATTATATCTTGGAGAAGTTAAAGTATTGAAGAAATTTTTGAAGCAAAGTGCTAAACGTGTCAGTCTCACCACATATTGCTGTACATCAAATCAGAATTTCAACTACCTATGCTTGACAGCACATTTTATTGATGATGAATGGAAGTTTCACAAAAGGATTCTAAATTTTGTTATGATTGAAAATCATAGAGGTGATACTATAGGGATGACCATTAAGCAATGCTTATTAGATTGGGAGATTGAGAAAGTGTTCACCATAACTGTGGATAATACCTCAGCTGATGACTTAGCTTTGGGATATCTTAAAAGGCGTTTGAGGAGTTGGAAGGGCTTACTTTGTGATGGTGATTATCTATAATTAAGGTGTTGTGCACATGTCCTAAATTTGGTGGTCGATGAAGGTATTAAAGAAATGAAAGACAGCTTTGAAGCCATTCTAAGTGTTGTTAGATATGTTCATTCTTCTCCTTCACACTCCCTAAGATTCAAAACTTGGGCTGAAGCTGAAAAAATGGACACTAAAAGCCTTGTTTGCCTTGATGCATCCACTTGATAGAATTCAACATACTTAATGTTAGAAGCTGTAATGAAGTTTCAAAAAGTATTTGAGCGAATGCGTGATGAAGATGATGACCATATTTCATACTTCAGCTCAAGCACTTCAAGCTCTAGGCGTGAGGCTTCTAGTTCAGCTAGGCGTTAGCATGATGGTATTAGACGTGACCAACATAACTTTTCTGGTCCTATTATTGGTGATTGGAATAATACTTGAATCTTCATCAAATTCTTGAAGGTCTTCTATAACATAACATTGAAATTTCAAGCTCCATTTCTGTATCATCAAATGAATGTTTCTACCAAATTGCTCATGTTCAGAAAATGCTGCAAAGGAATATCACAAATAATGCTAATAGCTTCTTAAGAGAAATGAGCACTAGCATGTAAGTGAAGTATGACAAGTATTGGGGTCAAGCAGACAAATATGAATCTATTGCTTTTTGTGGCTGTCATTTTGAACCCTCGACATAAACTAGCATATATGAATCATATGTTTGATCTTCCTTACGTTGATCCTAAAGTATGTTTAATTATGAAGGAGAGGGTCAAAGATTGTTTGTATTGGTTGTTTAATGAGTACTCTGCTAGGGTTTCTATTGAATCAGGGACTATCTCCACAAGTACAGCAAGTGCAACTTCATTGCCTTCTTTTGACGATGATGGTGGTGGTGGTGGTGAAGAGAATCCAGGTCATAAGTGGTTAGAATCTATGAAACAAAAAACCTCAACAGATCCTCAAACTGAGTTGGATAGATATAAAGCAACTAACTCGAGAGATGAAATCCCTTCTGCAGCTGAGTTTGACATATTGTCATGGTGGAAAACTAATTTAGAAAATATAGAATTCTCTCACACATGGCACGAGATGTATTGGCTATGCCAGTTTCTGCAGTGGCTTCTAAGTTTGCCTTTAGCATCAGAGGATGTGTGGTTGATCATTATAGGAACTATTTATCTTCTAAGATGACAGAAGCACTAATTTGTAGCCAAAACTGGCTACAACCTAGGCAATCAATATTTGAATTTGTTGACAAGCTTAGCGAGTTCGATAATTTTGATGAGACAGAACATGTCGTTCAACTTGCTAGTAATCTTTTTTTCCCCCTAAACCTCAATAACTCATATTTTACTTGATAATTTGTAATGTAATTGTTCTTTGATTTTTTCCCCCTTAGATTTTGCTGCACCTAGAGGGGAGAATTTAATGGCTATTGGTGATTGAAAGGTCATTTTATAAGCATGACTAGTTAAGCTGGTAAGGTGAATCGGTGCATCTTTTAAAATCTAGAAGTACATTTCTTTTTTTTTTTTATTGTTTACTTTCTAATATATTAAACTTTGTTATTTTTATTTGTATTTTTGTAGGTGTTCCATTCTTTTCTGAAAATTATGGAGATTGATGCAAAGTGCAAAATATTCAAATTCAATGCTCCAATTACAATATTGAATCTTGCTTTAAATGGATTATTAATGTTATTTAATTGGATATTTGTTAATATTTGTTTTGGATTATTTCTGAATGATTTTAATGTGTTAAAATGTAGAATTATGAAATGTGATTTTTAGGTATGAATGGAATTTTTTTTTTCATGATATGAGCAGGGCATCAGTTTTTGGACAATGAAACCCGCCCTGCCCAACCCAGCCCAAAATGGTAAGGGCTTCTACGGGCAGGGTTGGACAGTACAGCCCGCACATACTTCGACATGGGTATCAGGCAGGAGTCTTGTCCTGTTCAGCCTTACCCATGTGCACCCCTAAACTACTGTGTATGAGTATAAGTATTAGAAATTAATAATTGTACAGCACTAATCAAAATTAAAATGCTAATAATCTGATTTGTGACTGTAATTAGTAATAATATAATGAAATTTTGGTTAGGCAAAAAAAAAATTTCCATTAGTCTTATTCGTTTATCAAATAAATGCATGCCCTTATAAATATGAAATTTCTAAATCTAACATCTCGTGTGTCTATAATAGTATTTAAATTTCATTTATTTGTCAACAAAAAAGTTCATTAAAAAGTAAGACTTTTTATGATATGTTTTTCTTTTTTCTACTTGTTGGCGGTATGATACCTTACTGTAAATATGAAAGAGAAAAAACTCAAGGAATTGACGAATAAGTATTTGAATATGGCTAAATTACCGATAATGTTTGTGTTTGTAACTTAATTTTGATGATTTTTTGTTTTTAATTATAAATATTATTATTTTATGTCTATTTCTCTATAAATATCTTTAAAATAGTAATTTTTCACTACACGAGTTTAAAACCTGTGGGCTGATCCAAGCCTGCAGATTTGAGGGCGGAGTTTCATTACCGACGTGTCTTTTTCGAATTCACCCGTTTAGTGCCGCCGCCCAACATGTTTTCCCAGGTGCTATATCAATAATATCTCAAGTGTCATAATCATTGCAATCAAAGAAAGTGTGGGCCACATCAATCAATATTAAGAGAGAGCCCATTAAAATAATTCTCAACCCAACGCTCAAGAGGAGACAAAAATAATTAAATAATAATCAACGGGAGTTGGTTCAAATGGTAAGCAGCTTAGTACTGTTTAAGCGAAATCTTGAATTTGAGTCTCAGCATATACAAAAATTCCTGTTGAAAGACTCACTCACCACAACCAGGTGCGCAACACGGGTTGAATCCAGATGTATTTGAAGCAAAGCTCTGGTGAATTGAGTGGACAACAAAAAAAATGATACAAAAAAAATAATTAAATAATAAAATTTGTCCTCTAGATTATTAGCCTAGAAACGTGGCCTTGGGTCTTGTCTTATACTGTTCCATTTCTTATTATAAGATTTTTTTAATTAAATTATGTTGAAAATACAGTTTTTTTTCAAATACACCCCTATATATAAATAGATAAATGTGATAGAGTAATAGTGAGATAAATGAAGAAATGGAATGTATTAAATATATTAAATTAAGGGTAAAATAGGTAATACTGCATTAAATGCTCCGACAAACTCAAAGAAGATCTTACAAAAGGGATAAACCTATTTAAAAAATTGGATTTTATAATAAGAGACAGAGGGAGTATGATTTATTATTTTTTCAAAACAGTTTTGTATTTTAAAAGATAAAAAAATATGTTTAAAATTTTTTTTTATTATGTGTTATAAAAAAATAAAATTCGTTCTTAAAGACCAAAAAAAAAAAAGAATTTTGCTTTTGTAACAGCAATTTTGTTTTTGATACCTTGGTACCTTTTGTTTTATAAAATTAGAGAAACGGTTGAGAATATTATAATTTTGGTAATGACAATCATTTTAATAAAATAAGTTGATCCTTTCTGAAAATTTCTCTGGACAATATCGCTTCCATATAAGCGGCATTTTTTCATTTGGAAGCTTCTTCATAATGCCATTCGTTCCTTTGATGTCCCCAGGCAATATCACCTCAACGTGTCAAGTTCATGTCTTTTTGAATGTCAGGATGATGAAATTTTAGAACATCTCTTCATCTCATGCCTTTATGCGAAAATCGTATGATTTGGATGCTTTTCTCGATTTGTTCGTGTTATTCTTGTGCAGAGGCCATGCTAATCTTTTTTTGTGGTGTTCCAATTTTATCGGCTGTCCCCAAAGGGACATGGCCACATGGTTTGATGCTTTTCAATCAACTTGCACAGCATGTTGTTTGCTAATTTCAAGTGTTGGCTCAAGTAGGTTATTATTACCCTGTGTAAGGATGGAGAAACTGTATGCTCAAAAAAATTTTGTGACTAAGTGGGAATCTAGCTTTACATGAAGAAAAAATAAGCAGTGAACTTCACTCATTCAAGAAATAAAAGGTTTCATAACTTTTTGAGAGAGTGCTTATTCAAGGGAATGCTCTCATAGGGATATTGGCATCCATACTCAAATTATTACTGAAAGCAGGCATATTGAATTAGAAGAGCGGATAATCATTATTCAAAAAATTAAAACTAAGAACACAGACTTACATTGGAATCTCACAGTCAGTTTACATAAAGAGATTTTGCACTAATTCCTTTGAAAAAAGAGACACTCAGCAGGATTTATGTTCTATGGCCAATGTCTCAAAGCAGCTCTTCTTTGGATAAATGGTTATGCATCACACAACTACATTAACAAAGGAAATCTTCACTTATGGTGTGTTGGCAAAGCTCCTATTAATATGGCTTCTCTGTAAAGCAGAGAAATGCAATGTGGTTCTCCAACATATTTAGTCTTTGTTTAGAGATTTTGATTGCTTAAAATTCCTATACTGCTTTTTTAGATTAGGACTTTCATCTTTTAAGTCCTTTTCTTTTAGTTTGTTTTAACATTTGTGAACTTTATTTTTATTTATAACGCATTTTATCTTTTTATCCAAAAAAAAACTATCTTTTACTTTTCAGTTCACCATTTTTAATATAACTTTCAAAGTAATTATTCATACAGATTTTTCTTTTTAAATTTTTTACTTCTAAAACTTATTGGATTAAATTACCCTGCAAAATTATTCTAAAAATATGAGAAAAAATAGAATTAAACAATACTCATATTTCCCAATTATTATAACACCTTTTCTATGGCTGTTAAACAGCGAGTGCAGATTTTGACGTGTACCTAAATTTACTACTAGTATCAAAAATTCTATTTTCCTCTGAAAAATGTCTAGCATTACTTTATGTTTCAATTTACAAATTTTTAAATCATTTTGGATAAATCTCAAAGGGAAAAAATTTGTTCAAATTGCTTATGTCCATTATGTCAAGTTCTAAATGACATATGATTATATGTCCTTATTTGTTTTATGTGGATTTATAATTAAATACTATTAAATGCTAATATCTCAAAAATAGAATATATAGTCATATATAATTAAAGAATTTGATATGATAGACAAAAGTAATTTGATGTAAGTACTGTTTAATCTAAAATTTAGTGTTTGTTAATTTCTTTAAAATATTCTTTTAGTGCACTGCTTTTTATATTTGATTAAATATATTCTTTTGCCAATTAGTTTTATCTTTACAGCTTTTGTTCGTTGGGGAGCCGTCCAAGGCTTAAAGCCATCCTCCACACCTTGCATTCTTTTTTTTTTTCTTTTTTTTTTATTTCTTAGTTGTAAGTTTGCCTTATATTTTGAGCTTGGAAGATTATTTTCAGTATATTGCCATTTAATATTCTGTTTACAAACCTGGAAGATTACCTAGGCTATGTTTGGATTGTCATTAGAGAAGTCAAAAGTGCCTGGGAAAGGGTGTAACTGAGGTTACTGGCTTATTTAAGTAAAAATAATTATTTGGATGTGCTGCTTTTGCAACTGACTTATAAGCAAAAGTAGCTTATTTTTGGACTCTATCTGGAGGAGCTTCTCCACCATTTCAAAATGCAATTTACTGTTAATTTCTCTCACCTATCATTTTCACCTAACCGAGCAACCCCTTTCAAAACAGATCTCAACCTTCAGAACACCTCGACAGAGCAACAAACAGGAAAACTCCTTTTGCTCTGCATTCAACCTTCTACCTCCGTCACTCTCGGCACTCTCTCTGTCCGTCTCTCTCGCCAGCGTCTCTGTCCATCGCTGTCGCCTGGGTCTCCGTACGTCACTCTCTTCGGCGTCTCCATCCGTGGGTCTTGGAGGCTGTTCTCCCTTCATCACTGTCACAACAAATCTGTGTCATTTTTCTTGTCATCACCGGCATGTGTGTGCAAAAAATCACTACTGTCTTCCTCCGCCGCTCAAGGTACCATGGTTGCTTTCTTTTCTTTTCCCTGTTCGACTTTCAGATCCTCCATTGCCCATCCTCCATTCCTTGTTCAACTGTCATATGCTGACAATGACTGAAGGAGGCGGGTTTTATTTTCCTTTCTCCTTTGATTGTGGCTGCTGTTGTGTGCGCAAAGAATCATCTTCTGCATTTTTTTTCCTTCTCCTATGGGTGTTCTATTTTGACTGAAGCATATGATAGTTTGGCCTTAGTTTTGTTAGATATTATGCTTTAATGTTTAATTTTGTTTGATATTGAAGAGTTAATGTTTGGTTGGATTTTTCGGGTTAAAGGAAAAGAGTATTTTTGGTGTTATGGGTTCATGCATCATGATTGAGAATGGGTGGCTGTAATTGTGTGTGATGTTCTGAACTTTGGGGGGGGGGGGATACAGAGATGGTAATCAAGGATATGTGGATATATTTAGCTAGGATATGTGGATGTATGCTGGCTCGGTTAAAGCTTTTGATTCACACGGTTATATTTGGATGTGGATATATTTAGCATATATGAACAATCTGAGTATTGGAAAAAGAAATCATTCACACGATTGATTATACTGCTTAATTTATATTGAAAAAACAACTATCTAGCTAGTGAGGCATCCTCGTCAAGTTTAACATCTACTGCACAAATGAATCATGTTCGTGACTCAATTAGAGACCAAATTGTGCAAAGCTTATGATTTCATTTACTTTAATTAGAGACCAAATAAATTTTAATTTAATTTATGTTCATGTTTGTCTATTATATATATTTAATTAAGTACGATCTAATTACTTATGTAATTTCATTTACTCTAATTAGAGACAAAATTAATTTTAATTTATGTTCATGTTTGTCCATTATATATATTTAATTAATTATTTACAATGTGTTTTCAAATTTTTTTCTCGATAACAAATATTTTTATTTTATAATCTCACAAATAAACTATTTTTATTTTATCATAATAATTTTAGATATTTTTTAACAATTATCACATTAAAAATATCAAATACTATTATTCAATAAAGTATATGCCTTTTTCAGTCATTTTACAACTGAACTAACTTTTCTATTCATCCAAATAATTTTTAACTTTTCCAACTGACTTTTTAAAAATACCTATCCAAACATATCCTAATTGAATTTTATTCTAATTTCAGTTATAAAAATCAGTTAGACTAGAAATCAGTTTTACCCAACGTCAATTCAAACATACCCATGGTCTTTTAAACAATTGAACTTATTAGAAACCAAAATGGTTAAAGGGACGGGTGAGGGCCACACGAAGAGGTCACTTAAAACATCACATGCGCCCCACATGATCATGACGTATGCTCATCATTATTAGGATTTTGCTTTTGCCTTCCATCAATTTTAATTTTTAGGATGTTTAAGTCACATAGGACAAATCAATGCAGATATCTCAATTTGAAATTTCAAAATGTTGTCAATTGACATGTGTGCCCTTCCTCCTTTTCTTCTCTCTCTTCTCTCTATCGTCGTCTTTGCTTTCGATCAATTTCTCCGTTTGTCTCCTTGGTCTGTGTGTCAGGCCGCGCTGTCCAAACTTGAAGAACCAATCATCCAATAATTCAAGTCTCACCTTTCACCTCCTATGGCCATCATGCCCATTCTCCTTCACGTTTTGCTTCTATTCTTGGCCAAAAAGCTCCAATCTCCATTCTAATTTTGTGAGACCTCCCTTGGCATCTCTGTTCTGGTTTCACCATGTCGTCATCTCCTCTTTCCATTGTTTCCAGTCGTTCCCTTAACCATCGAGTCCCTTTCTCTGTGCTAACATCAGATCTGGGTTTCCTACGCATGCCAGCAGTATGAATGCTTAGGTTGAAGTCGTGTGTCGGCGCCATCGATTCAGTCCGTTCGTTTAGTCAATTCCTCATGGTCTGCTGGTCGAGGTGCTCTACTCATTCAATGGATTCACTTGTTTTTCTTCTCCTTATCGTTGGATGTTCACTTATGACAGCAAGATCATATGATAGTTGAATCTTGGGTTTTGCTTTTGGGTTCCTCTACTTTCCCCCTTTATTAACGTCGGCTTTCCTTCCTTCTCTTGCTCCCGGGTTCTCATTTGCAGGTTTTTTTAACGCAGATGCTATATACAGTAAAAACAAATTAAAATGTTATAATTTTAAAAGTATTTACTGATATATTATATTTAAAATCATTTTTCAAGCAAGGAACAAAAAATCAGACCAGACACTCAACCAGTCGAAGTAGTGGTTTAAGGGTTAATGAATCAAACCGAGATCAACTCGGGATCATACCAGTCATATTTAAATAATACAATTTAAATGATAATAACAAAATAATGTAAAAAAATACAATAATAATTAAATTGTAATAATAATAAACTATAATAATTTTGAGTAAGGTACAAAAAACCAGACCGGTCAGTAAAGCGGTTGAGATACTGGTTCAAGGGTTAATAAGTTAGATCGGGGTCAAATCGGATCAAATCAGTATTAATTCAAATAAGTAAAAATATTCATATTTTAGTTATAAAAAATAATATTTGATTTTTAAAGAGTACTTATGTTACAAAATAGGGAAAATTACGTACAGGTCCCATAGAAGGTAATTTATTACTCTAAGGTCCCACAAAATGTCAAAATCACTGACAAGTCCCAAGGGACCTCAGAGTAATATTTTCGATTTGTAAAATGACATTACTGCCCCTCATATTCCAAATTCACATTTGCTCTGTCATTGCAATTTACAACCTCAGCAGCGACTATTAACAACCCAATGAGAGGGCGTTAACAACCCTAGCAGTATCCGTTAACAACTTACTTTATAGAATCATATAACCTCCACATAAGAGTAAATTATAACCAAATAGTATAAGACAACAACTTTA